CTTTTGGAGTGCTGAGGATATAAATTCTGGAGTGTGCATGTGTGTAGAACTATAGTATGTCTGAGGTCTAGGGTTGGGATGCTCCCATTGTGGACTAGCTCTGGTATCCAATGTGTATGGCTATCTGCCTTAAGATCTGGGGTGAAGGGCATGGGCACAGGCAGATTACTGTTGCTTTGGAGTCTGCTTTGAAGATGCTCCTGCTATAGCAGTGACTCTGATGTCCATAAAATAGACATTTATGAAATGGCTATAAAGTAAGAGTTTTGAGTTTAAGCATGTGCAGAGTAACTATGGCTCTGGGGTCCAGGATGCATGGTAGTTCAATAAGGTGGTAGTTTTGATATGCAGGGTATGGGCATGCACACTGCTGCCATAGAGTCTGGGCCTGGAATGCAAGTATGCACGGAGAGGCAGCAGTTGCAACATCTGGGGAATACATAGATTTGAGGGTGTGGTGGTCTTGGGCAGCATTATAATGGGTCTTTGTTGAAGTTAGAGCACAGCAACACCTCCCGCTCCAGGAGGTTCACAACAGCAATGGATGTTGGTTATCTCAATGGCAAATGTTACCAGTGTTCTTTATGGAGCAGGCTACTAAGATCTGTATTAATAAACACCAAGCGGATAGCCAATGTGAAATCTTCAGGGAGTCTGTGCCTGCTGTGGGGGCTGTTGAGGTCCATGGCAACAAGGACCTTGACTGCCATAATACTTTGCAGAGCAGACCTCTGGGAATACACTGGTACCTACCACATGCTGAATTCTGATAACCTATACCCTTCTTTGTTCTTAGCCATTTCTAGATATTTCACATATGCTGATCTCCTCAGTGATATTTCCTGGTGCTTATTCTATTTCTTCCTCCACTGTGTCCCTGCAGGCTTCTAAAATTGGTTCCTTTTAGTTATAAATAACATTAGGATTCATTTTGACACAATTATACAAGCATGGAATATAATTTGCTCTAATTTGGTCCCCAGTATTTCCCCTTTCTCTCCCTACTCTCTTTCCTTGTTCCCTTTATTCTGCTCTTTGTGCTAATCAATTTTTAAAATTTTTACTTTTTAGTTAATGTCTTGTGGATACACATTATATTGAGATGCACTATGATATATTCGCATATGAACATAGGAAATTAGGTCAGATTCATTCTGCTGTTCTTTCCTTATCTTGTCCCTTCTCCTGCCCTCTTAGCTCCCTTCAACTAGTCCATTCATCTTTTTTTCCCTAGTTTTATGGAATTTACCCCCTTTTCCCTTTTGCCACCCCCCATTTTGGACTAGCTTCCACATATCAGTGAAAACACTTGACCTTTGGCTTTGAGTTTGGCTTATTTTACTCAGCATAGTGGTCTCAAATTCCATACATTTACCAGCAAATGCCATAATTTCATTGTTTTATGGCTGAATAATTCTCCATTGTGTACATATACCACATTTTCTATAACCATTCTTCTCTTGAAGGGCACCTAGGTTGATTCAGTAGTTTGGCTATTGTAAATTATGGTGCTATAGACATTGATGTGGCTGTATCCATATAGTATGCTGATTTTAAATCCTTTGGGGTACATACCTAGGAGTGGGATAGCTGAGACATATGGTGGCTCCATTCCTATTTTTTTGTGGAATCTCCATACTACTTTCAGAATGTATGCACTAATTGGCAGTCCCACAAACAATGCATGAATGAAAGTTTTTCCCCACATCCTTGCCAACATTCACTATGATTTGTATTCTTGAAAACTGCCATTCTGACTGGAGTGAGATAAAATTTCAATGTAGCTTTGATTTGCATTTCTGTAACTGCTAGAGATGTTGAACATTTTCCCATATATCTGTCAGCAATTTGCGTTTCTTCTTTTGAGAAGTTTCTGTTTAGTTCTTTTGTCCATTTATTAATTGGGTTATATATACATATGCATATATATATTTTTCTCAATTTTTGAGTTCTTTATATATTCTGGATATTAATGCCCTATATGAGGAGCAGGTGGTGAAGATCTTTCATTCTCTAAGCTATCTCTTCACTCTCATTTCCTTTATTGTGCAGCTTTTTAATTTGATGCCATCCCACTTATTGATTTTTTGTTTTATTTCTTGCAATTTAGAAATATTGTTAAGGAGTAAGTTCCTGTGCCAACATGTTGTAATATAGGGCCTACATTTTCTTTTAGAAGTTGCACAGTTTTTGAAGTCTTTGATTCACTCTGAGTTTACTTTTATTCAGGGTGAGAGATAGAAGTCAAGTTTTCATTCTTCTACATATGGATTTCCAGTTTTCCCAGCACCATTTGTTGAAAAGACTTCCTTTGCTCCAGCAAATGTTTTTGGAACCTCTGTTTACTATCAGATAATTGTATTTATTTAGGTTTATTTCTGTGTCTTCTATTCTATTCCATTGCTTTGTATCTGTTTTGGTGCCAGTACCAAGTCGTTTTTGTTACTATAGCTCTGTAGTATATTTTGAGGTCTGGAATTGTGTTGCCTTCAGCATTACTCATTTTGCTCAGGATTGCTTTGGCTATTCTGGGTCTCTTATTTTTCCAAATGAATTTTAGAATTGCTTTTCCTAGTTCTGTGAGGAATGTCCTTGGTATTTTTATGGGAATTGCATTGAGCCTGTGTAATGTTTTGGGTAGTATGACCATTTTAATAATATTGATTCTGCCTATCCAAGAACATAAGAGGTCTTTCCATATACCAAAATATTTTTCAATTTCTTCAGTGTTCTATGGTTTTCACTGTAGAAGCCCTTGACATCATTTGTTAGATGAGTTTCCAAGTATTTTATTTTTTTTTGAAGTTATTGTGAATGGAATAGTTTTCATAGTTTCTCTTTCAGCAGGCTCCCTATTGAAGTATAAGAAAATGATTGATTTATATATGTTGATCTTGTATCCTGAAGTTTAACTACATTTGTTTGTCAGTTGTAGAGATCTTTTGGTAAAGTTTTTTTTTTGATCTTATAAATATAGGATCATATCATCAGCAAAGAGAGATAATTTGAGCTCTTCTTTTCCTATTTGTATCCCTTTAATTTCCTTCTCTTGTCTGACTGCTCTGGCTAGAGTTTCGAGGATTATGTTGAATAGGAGTGGTAAGAGTGGGCATCCTTGTCTTGTTCCTATTCTTAGAGGAAATACTTTCAATTTTTCTCCATTCAATATGATATTGACTTTGGGTTTGTCATATATAGCCTTTACAACATTGAGAAAATTTCCTTCTATCCTATCTATCCTAGTTTCTATAGTGTTTTAAACATGAATTGGTGTTGCACTTTGTTAAATACTTTCCCTATACTCATTGAGATAATCATGTAATTCTTGTTTTTAAGTCTATTTATACAGTGAATTACATTTATTGATTTTCATATGTTGAATCAACTTTGGATCCCTGAAAGTAAACTCCCTTTATCATGGTGCACTATCTTTTTAATGTGTTTTTATATGCAGTTTAACAATATTTTATTAATAATTTTTGTATCGAGGTTCATCAAGGATATTGGCCTGAAGTTTTTTCTTTGATGTGTCTTGGTATTGGAAGTGTGGTTTTGGTATTAGGGTGATACTGGTTTCATACAATGAATTTGGCAGTGATTTCTCCTTTCCTATTTAATTACCTAATTTGAGAAGGATTGGTATTGGTTCTTTAAAGGTCCTATAGAACTTGGCTGAGAATCTTTTCAGTCCTGGACTGAATATATTGGCCTTCCTTCCTTCCATCTTTCCTTCCTTCCTCCCTTTGCTCCTTCCCTCCCTTCTTTCCTTCCTTCCTTTCCTTTCCTTTCCTTTTTGGGTGTGCTGGGGATTGAAACCATAGCCTTGAGCTTTCTGGGCAAGTGCTCTACTCACTGAGCATCCCCACTCCAGACCTTTATACTGGCATTGATTTCTAATTTCACTCTACTATGATATGATGGGATGCAAAGAATCATCTCTATTTTTTAATTTGCTGAGATTTGCTTTGTGACCTAAAATATGATCTATTTTAGAAAGTGTTCCATGCACTGCTGAGAAGAATTCATTGTGAATGGATGAAATATGCTATTGATGTCTGTTAGATCCATTTGGTTAATGATATATATATTTATTTATCTGAAGAGCCTTTACTCAGTTTATGTATAGGTGCTCTATCTAATGGAAAGAGAGGTGTGTTGAAGTCACCCAGTGTTATTGTATCTGTGGTCTATTTGATTCATAATATTAAAGATAGTTTATTTTATGTACATAGATGCACCATTGTATGGGGCATAAATAGTTATAATCATTATATCTTATTGTTGGATGATTCCCTTGACCAGTGTGAAGTGACCTTCTTTGTTTCTTCTGATTAATTCTGGCTTAAAGTCCACTTTCTCTGACATGAGAATGAGTACCCTGCTGCAGATTCTTAGTTGGATTCCTGATCCCTCCTTGGAACTATTCTTGTTCTTGGATAACTAAATAGTTTTGTTGTTATTCTCGTTGTTGGAGAATGATGACTGGTATCTCCTATTCTGTCATCTTGCTCACATCACTCTTCTCTCCCTCTTCTCATAAGGTCACACATCATTTTGGACTAGGACCCACATATATGATCTCACTTTAACAAATCTTTATATTTCCAAATATAGTCACATTACAAGGTGTAATGTGGGTTAAAACTACAGAAGGAAGCATAATTCAGTCTATAACAAATCTGTAGAAAAATTTTCTATTCTTCAGAGCAGCTTAAAATAGTTGTCTTCTATATACACATTAAATTATTTTATTTCTGTGGCAATCCAGTTTTTTATAATGACTTCACTATTTATAAAGATATTTGGCTTCTAAAGTTAATAAGTAGTTAATTTGATAAAATTTTCAGAAGAAAATAATTTTTAAAACTAGGCTTCAAAATGGGATGCTTCTAAGACAAAGAACTATCAGGTTTTTTTTTTTTTTTGAGAAAAGTAAATAAAACACTACAATCCCCAAAGGAACCAAAATAATAACCAATACTTAAATAATATTTTCATACCTGACATCCAAAGAAAAATGTTATTCCCTAGGTCTTCTTTAAATTCATCATTAAAGAGGTTACTAGATTCTGGAAATGCTTCCCGGAATGTTGCATATATAGCTTGTGCCAGACAATCAGGATATACCTACCAAAATGGAGTCATATTATGTTAATTTTATATAACATACAAACATCTTTTATATAACATATTTTAACTATCAGAGAAATTACTAGCTTGGGAGATATATATATATATATATATATATATATATTTCTTATGGCTTGTATTTAGCCATTTTATTACTTCTTTGTATCTCTAATTGAGGGGCATGAACCAAAAAAAGTTGAAAAATTATGCTAATTTAAGTGTTAACATTTTACAAAATAATAAATAAAGAAGGAAATTAATAATTAAGACAGTTTGATTATTAGCCATAAAACTTATTATTGCTACCCACATTTAGAAAATGATGTATATAGGTTATCATTATAAAAAGTATAAGTTTAAATAATTGGAGCTTATTTCAATGCGTTCACATAATATAATCAGTATTTTCTAAAATAATTTTTTGTCAATGGACTTTGTTTATTTATATGCAATGCTGAGAATTGAACTCAGTGCCTCACACATGCTAGGCAAGCACTCTACCACTGAGCCACAATCCCAGCCCCAATATTGTTTAAATATTAAAACCATGATCATATATCATCAAATATATAGAACTATTAGTATTCAATTAGCTTCCAAATCTCCAAACCATAAAATTTCTCTCAGGTTATGACTAAACCCAGAAAGTTAAAGTTTTTATATTAAAGAGATTTATATCACTATTTTAGTATTTTCATTTAGATAAGTGTTTACAATTAACATGTAAGCCCTTAATTCTGTAAAATTTTAGAAATGGAAGGGTCCTTAGAGGTCCCTGAGGCACACTGAATAATGGTGCAAAAAAAAAAAATATGTTCTACTCTCTAGAATTTGTAGAGGTTACTTTATAAGACAAAAGGATTTTATAGGTATAATTAAAGATCTTGAAAATTTATCTTGGATTCTCCTGTGGGCTCTTAAATGTAATCATAAAAGTCATTAGAAAAGTGAAGCTGAGCAAAATTTGATGAGATAAGAAAGAAGAAAGTAATGTGATAATAGTATAGGCAAAGACTAGAGTGATATAACCATAAACTAAAGATTATGGGCCACCACCAGAAGCTAGAAGAGGCAAAGAATGGATTCTCCTGGAGGCTTCTAGAGAAAACAATCTTGCCAACATCTTGATTTTCACCCTGTAAGATTCACTGTGGGCTTCTGGTCTCTATAGCTAAGAAAATGAATTTCTGTTGTATTAAACAACTACGTTTAATAAGTTCATAATAACTTATTAAAGCAGCAATAAGAAACAATATGGTTACCTAATCCAATAGTACTCAGATTTGCTAGTAAAATAGTGTGTCTTTTAAGACCTCCAAGATCTTTTTGTGGGGTGGGAGGATATATGAGAAAAAGAAAAAAAAACCTCTGTAATGTATTGCATTTAATTTTATTGAATGAACCATAAATATCTTTACAACCAGAAATGATCACATATTATATCTGTGGTGTATAAGATTATATAAACAGTTAAAATATTGAATAAGGTGAATAAGGAATGAAGGAATATTGTTGTGAGAAACTGGAAGAAAGGGAAGTAAACATCACCCTAAATATGTTTGGGTTCATATTAATGTACTTAACAGTGGGAACTGAAGAAAATATTTTCATTCTTAAACATTAACAAGTTTCTCTGGCTTTTGTAATATAAATTACATGAACCAAGAGCAATGAAACCCTCACTTAGTTGAATGAGTGTAAAATAATGGAAAATGGACAAGAAGAGTGAAGCTCCACCTATACTTAAATATTCCTGCTGGGATATGCAACCTACAGGAAGGTGGCCTGGTTCTCAAACATGCAAGCAGGGAGAGGAATTATTGAAAGAATAGGTCAAGGAGTCTAATTACTAAGGTATGTACATTTTGTTCTCAAATATGGCTTTGAATCCTGATTAAACAACTTCTAATTTTCCTTTGGAAAAAGATACTTAAAGTAGGAACCCAGAAAAAGTCAAGTCATGATTTGAGAGATGTTACAATTATATCTTCTATTAAATAACACACACATCTTGGGGAAGAACATTTAGATCATAAAAGTAGGACCAAGAACTAGAGAATGGGGGATATCTAATGGGACCACTTCATCCTTATCCTTTATTAAAGAGTCCTTTGATGAAGTTGCTTTATTTTATCAAGCCGTATAGATAGGCTAGGTACACTTAGTAAATGCACATTAATATAAAATCCACAAAAGGACATATTAGGGAAAGAATATGGTTAGAAAAAAACATTTTTTAAATTTTCAGCTAATTTAACAACAAAGTTTTAATCATTAACTTTTTTTCCTGAAAATAAGAAAAAACAATTTCAGTATTAGTAAAGGAAATCCTACTTTATCTTTCAGAACAATATTGTTCCACATGACAATTATTTAACATTTAATGTAACCAAAAACCTACTTATGAACCTGAGAGGTTGAGCAGATTACGTAGGTAATTTGTATCAGATTACAGACATGAAGCTGAATTTCTTTATTCCAAGTCCACTACCACATTTTACATTTGCATTTGTGAGTAAGATAGGTCAAGGATGAACATAAGTGTTTGAAAACTTTGTGAATATAGGTTTATATATATTTTCATTATAAAGGACACTTTGTATTTTAAATCTGCATTAGCAATGAAAATATTTACAAATTCTAAAATAATTATGTATTTCTGATTTACAGATTGCCAAACAACAAAGTATTTGAATATGGCTTGTGTTTTGAAATTCTAGCTATTAAATATAAACATTTCCAATAACATTTCTACATTCTTCGTTTTACTTTACTCAAGAATATTATTTTAATCAATATTATTCATTAGTATAACAGCAAAAAATCAAAATAAGCAGTTGAGTCATAATTTTATGCATTGTATTTTATTGTAACAGATGATTGGTTCTTAAGTATAATATAGGAAATTTATTTTAAATAGATCAAATGATTCATCATAAAGAAAAAAATAAATCAATTTGTAGGTAAATTGAACAAAACCAAGAATGTATATAGGATAAGTTAATATTTTTCAAATTATTAATATCATACAAAATATTATACTAAATATTCTGTAAGACTTTGAGGCATGAGAATACTATATTCTTGTGGGGAGTGACAGTAAGAGCATAACTTTTAAAATATTGCCATTACTTACTGTATATCAGACAAGTTTGCTTTCAAAGTAACAAAATGTGTTCTTGTATATGTTTAAACAAAATAACTATTTTTTCTATTTAATTCACTCTAAAAATAATTAACATTACTGTTCATTTCTACCATTACCTGAAAAAATGCATCTTTCCGTCTTAAAGGTATGCTAATGAAAAGTGTCACATAACTTTCTGAAATTCTATCAAATAAGCAATCTTGATTTTTTTTGTTAGGCTGAAAATTAAAATATGTATGAAATTAAAATCAATATTACAATTAATCCCACTATTTTGTATAATTATAATGCACAAAAATATAAGGGGAAAATACAATTGGGAGTTTATTTGTATAATATCAGTAGTTTTTCTATTCTTAAAGGGAAGCCAATTGGTATAAGGGAATGAGGATGGGTTTTGGCATCATGCAAACCTGAATTTGAATACTGGCTCTGTTATTTATTAGTTGCATTACCTTTGGTGAGATAATTATGCCCCAGTTTTCTTATCTGACAGGTGTAGGACAGATATACAATGCATTAAAGAAGTGTAGTAAAATTAAATAGGGACAAAGATCACGTTTTTGTACACAAAACATGATACCTGGTACACAGAAAACACAAACATGAGGAGTTAATGAAGGTTCTTGCACAGTATTTATTATGTAGAAGGCAATCAATGGCTTAGTTAACTTCAGTTCCCTACAATTCTAATCCATTCATTATCAGTAATACAGAGTGAAATTAAAGCAATAAGGAATGAGACAGAACTAACACAATTATGATAAGAGAGCTAAATTGGAAACAAAAGAAATATATTTTAAGAAGAAACACATCTATATATAAAAATAATGTCAATATTAAAATGCCAATGTAGCACCGTGATTCTTGCACTACTAAGCAACAAAGAGGTGAATTAGCATCTAAAGTCATTATACAATTAAGGTGAATTAAACAGTTCCAACTAATTTATGACATAGGCTGTAGAAGTGCAAGCTGGCATTAATGATTTTTGGTAACAAAACCCCCCAAATTTTCAAATTTAAGGTAGTTTGTAATGAAATCATCAAACAAAATAACCTGGGATTTATAGATAGATTTATTAATAAATCTTAGACCTAAAATGAAATTACATATCATCTAGCTTAAATCCTTCTATTTCAGTGACTGCTCTGATCTCAGAAATGTCAAGGGGAATTATTATTTTTAAAAATTTATTGGTTCTTTTCAGTCATCTATGACAGCAGAATCCATTATAATATAATTATACAAGCACAGAATATATCTTATTCTAGTTGGAGTCCCATTATTATGGAGGTCCATGGTGGTGAGATTCACTGTATTATTTTCATATATGTACACAGAAAAATTATGTCAGATGCCAGATTCATTCTACTGTCTTTCCTTTGTCTATAGCCCGTCCCTTCCCTCCATTCCTCATTGTCTTATCTACTGCATTTCTATTCTTCCTTTCATTTTCGGATTGTGAGTTAGCTTCTACATGTAAAGCTATCCAGTTAAATACTCAAGAATTGGACTATAATCCAGGTCTATTAACTACCAATATAATTTGCATACTTGTTTATTAACTTCTTTGTTGTTATCATAGTAATAATAACACTAATAGCAATTCTTGATTACTTATGTCAATGGTTCTGACATATACAGTTATTTGAGAATTAAATGAAGTGATATATACCTATATATATATACAATACAAATATAATTTACTCAAGAAAGCATGTTTCAACTACATAATCTATAGTTAACACCTGTGAAGAGGAGAAAAGAAATTTGCACAAGACAGAAATTTCCAGGATATGTTTTTGATTAATATAATTCAACCTAGTGTGTGTATCTTAAGAAACTAAATAGCAAAATGGTAGAATCATTATTTTGTAAATGTTTCGTGTATGCTTGATAAGAAAATGTATCTTGCAGCTGTTGGACATTTGGGTTAACAAAGTATCCATTAGATCAAGTTATTTAACATATGTTAAATTATCCTTGCATTTCAGGAATAAATCCTATTGGTCATGGTGTATAACCCTTTTAATATGCTACTGGATTTGGTTTGCTAGTATATTTTGATGATTTTTGCATCCATACTCATCATAAGAAATATTGATCTGTAATTTTTGGTTTGTTTTTCTTGTAGTATCTTGTCTGGATTTGCTACCTTGGTAATGCTTCCTAACTTTTAGGATGAGATTCAATTTTTTGGAAGAGTCTGAAGTTTTATGTTCATTCTTTTTAAAATGTTGATGATTTTTCTTTAATTTCTTTTTTAAAAATTGTGTTGGCTTCCACTCTGATCATTATTTTTTTTTCTTACACTTACTTTAAGTTTCACTCATACTTCCTTTTTTAGCTTGTTAAGACAGAAGCTGAGGGCTAGGGTTGTAGCTCAGTGACAGATTGTTTGCCTAGCATGTGTGATTGATTCTTAGAACCACATATAAATGAATAAAACAAAGGTCCATTGAAAACTAAAAAAATAAAAAAAAATTAAAAAAGAAGCTGAGATCACAGTTTTTGAGAATGTTCTCCTTTTTTTTCAAATACTGATATACATTGTAATGTAGTTTCTCCCTAAATACAGCTTCAGCTATATTCTACAAATTTTAATCTGTTCAAAATAATTTCTGATTTTCATATTGATTCCTGGTGTGACCTGTGGTTATTGAGAAGTATGCTCTTTAGTTTCCAAATATTTGGAGATTTTTCCAGATACTTTATTGTTATTCATTTTATAATACAATTTTGCATGAAAACATTTTGTATGGTTTGAATTATTATAAATTTATTAGGATGTTTTCCTATTTCAGAAGATTGTATATCTTTGTAAATATTTAATGTGCACTCAAGAAAAATGTGTACTCTTCTGTTGTTGATAGGTACTATGGTTTTAATGTGTCTCCCCAAGTAAATATGTTAGAAACCTGATCCCTGATTTTGTGGTATTGGAGGTGGGACCTAATAGCAGGCATTTGTGTCATGGGAGCATGCTATTATGGAAGTGGTTCAACTCCTCCTGTTTTAGCCTGCACAACTATAGAGAAGGAAAGTTTTATTCAGAGGTCTAAGTCCATGGGCAGCTGATTCCATTCCTCGGGCCTCAAGATGAGGCAGGACATCCTGGCAGAGGGAAGCAGCTTAAATGGCTATCAGAAAGCAGGTCTCCACTTGTCAGATATAAATATATATCCCAAAGCCATGCCCCAATTCCCATCTCTTCCAGCTATACCTTACCACTTTAGTTATCACTCAATCCTTATCAGGGGATTAATTCACTGATTAGATTAAGACTCCACAACCCAATAATTTCTCCTCTGAACCTTCTCGTATTTTCTCACACGGGAGCTTTTGGGGGACATCTCACATCCAAATCATAACATTCTGCCCCTGGCCCCCAAAAGCTCACATTCATCTGTCAATGCAAGATACATTTAGTCCACTCCCAAGAGTCCCCATAGTCTCAACAGTTCTGAGATTGCTCAAAGTTCAAGTCCAAAGTTTTCCGTGAGGGTCAAGGCAATCTTACATTGTGAGCTCCAGTAAAATTAAAAGCAATCTACAAGTATCTAATATATAATGGTATACAACAAACATTTCCATTCTCAAAAAGAGAAGCATAGAAAGAAGGGATAGGACCAAAGCAAGACCAAAATCCAGCTGGGCAAGCAGGTCCCACAGGTCTGTGTCCAGCATCTGGAGCACATGGCATGATGTCCTCTCCAAAGGGCTGGTGTAGCTCTGCCCCTGTGGTCTTGTTTGTTGCAGCCCAAGTGGCCTTTCTGTTGGCTTGTCCCTGCTTGATTCCTGCAGCTTTCCTAGGACAATGTCCCATGTTACTGGCATTTCTTAATCTCAGGGATCTCCATTGCTACTTAAGCTTCCTCCTCACATCTCCATACTCTGTCTTCTCAAGGGATGCCCTCAGGGACTCCAACCTTGCTGCACCTTGCCTGCCTTTCCAGGAATTTTGTTGGAAACTTCCATGACCCCCTAACTCCAGCATCCTGAATTCCTGCAGAACCAGCACCACATGGTTGACACCAAGGTCTGTCATCATCTTGAGCAATAGCCCAGCCTCCAGGGACCATGGCTGCAGCAGCCTTGGAGTGTCTGGGTAGCTGAGTATGTTGAAAAAACTTCCTAGGTCCCTTTGTGCAAGAAGGGTGCCCCACTGATCTCTTCTCAAAAGAATTTTCACCTTACTTCTTTGAGCCTGAGATGGGTGTGGTCTTGCCAGCTCCTGAGATGCTCTCAAGCCATCTTCTTATTGTCTCTGTGCAAAGTCTTTAACATTTCTTTAGTGGCAGTAATGTCTTTAACAACTGCAATTTCCTTAGCCTTAATTTTACTTTCACTTTTCAAGTCCAAGTTTTTCAAATCTCCCCACTCCTGCTTTCTTTCTGCTCTTGAATATCACAATAAACTTGGCTAAAAGTTGCCAGCAATATCTGTGCCACCACCTGAATGCTATGCTGCCTAGAAATTTCCTCCACCAGATTAAGAAGTCCTTTGCTTTTAAAATTGGCCTCACAGAGAATCTCAGGACATAGGCAAAATGCAGACAGCTTCTCAGCCAGAACAGAACCCAAATGGACTCTATTCCAATTACCAATAGTCTCCTCCTTTTCCTCTAAACCCTCTTGAGCCCAGACTTCATTGGCCATGGTCCTATCACCATTCTGGTCTTCTGCACTCCCACCAGAAAAGACCATTAATCTCCAGTTACAACAAACTAAAGCTTTTCCAGCTTACACTGCTACACATTTCAAAATTTCTCCCACCAAATCCAAAAACCTCAAAAAGCTTTTGAACCACAGGGTCAGGTTAGTCACAACAAGGACCCCACTTCTCAGTACCAATTTCTGTTTTGCTCAGTTTTTTTTTTGCTGCTGTGACTAAAATATCTGACCAGAACTACTGTACAGTAGGAAAAGTTTTTATAAGGGCTCACAGTTTCAGAGGTTTTAGTTCATAGAAGGCTGGCTCCATTCCTCAGGGCTTGAGGTGAGGCAAGACATGATGGCAGAAGCGTGGTGGCTGAGGAAATCAGCTTATATGGTGATCAGGAAGCAGAGAGAGGTCTCCACTTGCCAGATATAAATATATATCCCAAACCCATGTCCCAATTCCCACCTCCTTCAGCCACACCCTCGAATTTCTGTTACCACTCAGTTAATCCCTACCAGGGATTAATTCACTGATTGGGTTAAGACTCTCACAACCCAATCATTTCTCCTGTGAACCTTCTTGTATTTTCTCACATATGAGCTTTTCTGGGACACCTCACATCCAAACCATAATATCTCCTCATGGCTCTCTGCCATGGGATGACATAGCACGGAGAACCTTGCCAAATACTGGCTCCTAGATCCCTATATTTTGGACTTTCCCACCTCCACAGCTGTTAGCCAATAAACTTCTGGTCATTACAAATCACCTATTCTGTGGTGTTCTGTTATAGCAACACAAAGTGAGCAAGATTAGAAGAGTGTTTTATAATTGTCAGGTTGTTTGTCAGTGTTGCTCAAGTCTTCTACATAATTTCTGATTTTCTGTATATTTTACCAATTACTGAGAGTGAGATGATGAAATCTTGAACTATACTTATGAGTTTGTCTATTTCTCCTTGAAGTGTTAAAAGTTTTTAATTAAATGTGTTCTGAAGAACTTTATTAGGTGCATAAATATTTAGTATTCTTATGTCATATTGATGAACTGACCATTTTATCATTATGTATTTATTCCCTCTATCCCTGGTAATATTAAGTGCTTTGGAATCTACTTTGTATGATAGATTAAAAAATATTGTGACTTTGTAGGTCATATGGCTTTTTGTTAATGAATGGAGTTGTGTGGAAGTGATACACTTTCACTCTTTTGCATCTTTTGGGGGGAACCAAGGTACCATGGACAAATTTTTAAAATATTAAGAATATTAGAATATACTTACTTCTAGTCAAACACTGTCTATGTGCTACTTATTTCCATTCTTTTTATTTCCCAAATATCCCCTCTTTATCCTTTTAATCCTAATCAGAAGTTCTAATGCTTCTGAATCAAATAAAGACTCTCTATAACTGTATACTTATATTTTCAAACTGAACTTCTTCAATATCAGTGATTTACAGTGGACTTTCTGTTTAGTGTTTATCAGCACATTACAATTTTAAATAAATCCTCAATTTTATTGCTCACTACAGTGTTTGATTTCACTAATTTTTTCTGATTAAAAAAGATTTAGGATCTTTGAAATCATATGAAAGTCTTACTCCTCTGAAAAAGGAGACTTTAAACAGGATTTTTAAAGTCTACAAATATTACATACATGATAATTATGTTCAAAAACTAATCTCTATGAAAAGATAGAGAAACATTTTACCAGTGTTCTCTCTACCTACAAATTAATTATATGCTACAAATCAACTTATTAAAAAAACTTTAAAAATCTTATTTGCCTTAAATTTATGGAGAAACCACCACCAAAAGGAGTCATGCAAAAGAGCAATGGAAGATTCTGAGAGAAAATGACTCTTCCAGATTTTAAATATTCTTTCCTATGGGGAAAAAAAGATGCATAGAAACCAAATTAAAATATATTAAAGAAACATGTTAGTGTAAATATGCCTTATAAAGAGTATGTTTTCAATGTTCATAGACTATCACAGCCAAATAGATATTTACATGAGCCATGTACATATTAAACTTTCTAATAGTTATATACAAAGTAAAAGGTAAAATTAATTTTAATTGCACATTTTATTTATTAAACTGAATATATTTAAAATAATACCTCATTGTATATAACATATACAATTATTAATGATTAATAATTTGATTATAATAATGATTAATATAATGATTAATGATTAATAATTTATATACAATTATTAGTAAATAATTTTACATTCTTTTTAGTATTAGATCTTTGAATTATAATATATATTTATACTCATAGCATATCTCAATTTAAATACTATTTTCATCAGAAATATTAAATATATAGACTTCATAAAATACATATTTATAATTTTGTTGCACAATTGAGCATTATTAAATAATTGAGTCATATGCTATTTTTCAGATTTGTATATAAATTTATTAAAAGAAATATATTAAAAATTCAGGTTCTCAGTGACATCATCTACATTTCATATGCTCAATAACTATATTTGGCTAGTAACTATGCAAAAGATGATTTAGGATAGACCAAGAATAGCAAAAATGCCATAATTTTTCCTATTTTTCACTGAAGACAAATGTCAACAATTAATCAAAAATATCTATTTCAATAAGCTGTCTTCATCAATATGTCTAAATATAGTGTTCCCTTTAAGTAGATAATTCATCAAAATTGGTTCACAAGGTTAAATCTATTTACCAATTTTGGTTTAAAATTGTAGATTCAAAGATCATTTTTGTTCTTCACAAAAGGTTATAAGTAATACATTCAGTAGAATTCAACATCTATTTTAATAAAATCCACAAATATCAATTCATGTTCCTCAAATAAAAGTCAACAAAAATGACATCATGCAAACTTTTGTAGCAAGAAAATTATTTATCATGTATTTTGTGAAGCACTTCTTTTAAATAGGCCACTAAGTATAGTATGGACGTAACCAGTAGAGTTTTAACTTATATTTAGTACTTTTTAACGAAAAATAATACATGTAATGTATTGAGACATAAAAAGTAGAAAATTTAAATGCAGTGGAAAAAATGATCAGTTTTATCTGTAAACATCCCAACCTCAACCCATCCCTGATAATCACTAGTTGACAACCTAGTTACCTTTCTATACCAGTATCTTTTCATCATTTGGTTGGTTACTCTGTAGGGATACTACAAAAAAATGCCCCAGAATATTTTTAGGCTTAAAAAGGAACATACAAAAGGCCTATGGAGAAGGGCTCTATTAAGTTATTTCAAGGTCAAAGTAGCAGGCTAAACTATCCTAAGCTGATGGAGCAGAAACAGAGGAAAAAGTACCTGTTATGGTCACATGTCAATCCAGTGTACACTAGCATCCTCAGACTCCTGAGGCACTAATATGGTGTCTAATACATTCTCTTTTGGTAAATGTATCTTGCTTAACACCTAATTTATCATAGCTTTAAGTAAAGGTGTGATTCATTAAATCATATTCTTAAAGTTTATTATACAATAAAAATAATATTTACATACATCAAAGTCATAGGCTTTTAAAATAAAAAGATAAATTCGTTTAGCATCCAAATGTCTGGGTAATTGAGTAAGCTCATTTGCTTTGAATCCTGAGAAGTTGCAACCCTAGAAAAATGGGAAATATTATAGAATAGTAATTATTTCACTCTTTTTAGTATAGTAGTTTCATATGAATATATAAGACAGATACGTTTAACTCATTCTAATATAATTATTTTGTTTCATGTTAATCTATTAAGAATAAAATATATTCCTCCTAAGAAAAATTTTCATATTTTTGCTTCTGAAAAATTAAGAGCCCTTTCATATTCATATGACAGATTCAAAAACAAAAAATAAATCAATAAATAAATACTCCACAATTCAGAACTAACTTTGGCCTGTATAAAAATGATCAAAAGTTTTAACTACACTATACATAAATATGAAATAGATAAAAGAGAAAGATTCTATACCTGTTCTCAATTCTCTTTTCTGGTACCTCTATCTATATTTATAGTTACATCTATATTATTACAAGCATTCTTTTAGCCCCATGTAATACTTCTAACATACAATCTAGAAAAACAGAAATTTTGAATACCTCTATATTCTTCTGTGTCCCCATTTCATCTGCAAGCTGGAAAATATTTAAAATAAAAACTTAAAACTCTAAGTAAAAGAATTTTTACATGTTAAAATTCCAATTAAGAAGTCCAATAAAACATATATATTTAATTACAATGATTATTAATGCTTTTGTTGGTTTTAATTGATCTAAGGGTAATTTCAAGAGACTCTGAAAGTCATCTAATAAAATTCAAGGGTCAGAATTTTTAAAACTTGCATAAAATTTAATGAATAATATAACTACCAGTGTTCCAATATATGTTCCCACAACCTATAATAGGTTATTATTGACATTCAGAATTTGCTTTAAGACTACAGATTTAAAATAAAATAGTTTACGTAATAAAAGTTTAGATTCTCTTTGACCATGATCTCTAGTCCTACTCTTTTGTTCCCATTTCTTTGAGATAGTCACTAAAATCCCTTTTTTTTTTTTTCCTTTTTGGCGTATATACCTTCCATTCATTTAAAAATACTTTCTCTCTCTCTCTCTCTCTCTCTCTCTCTCTCTCTCTCTCTCTCACACACACACACACACACACACACACATACCCATACCCCACACACGCCCCAAAACTTCTTTTGTGTTTTGAAATTTTAAAAAGATATAAATTGCACATATTACTTGGTAACTTGCTTTTTTCACTTAATATTAGTTTTGACAATTTACTAGAGTTGCTATTTAGGTAATTAGTTAATTTCCACAAAGTTTTCCAGCAACCTAACTCCACTGAGCAACATAAATTATAAATTAGCTAATAACTTTTGCAAGCTACTTTAAAAAAAGTTTTTTATTCTAATTTGTTGTATATGACAGCAGAATGTATTATAATTCATATTATACATATAAAGCACAATTTTTCATATCTCTGGTTGTATACAGAGTATATTCACACCATTTGTGTCTTCATACATGTATAGGGTAATAAAGTCCATCTCATTCCATCCTCATTTCTACCCCCATGCTCCCTCCCTTCCTCTCCCACCTATTTGCCGTAACTAGAGTTCTTCTAATCTTCCTATGCTCCCCCTCCCAACCCCACTACGAATCAATCTCCTTATATCAGAGAAAACATTAGGCATTTGAGTTTTTGGGGTTGGCTATCTTCACTCAGCATTATGTATAAAACATCCAAAGGGAAAAATAATATCTTTATATTCTAAAAACTATTTTAAATTAGAAAGAGAGCTAAAACTAAGAACATTATTTTCTGAGGTTATTATCATTTTGGTACTGAAACTAACTACAGATAACAGTTGACAATATAATCTGCCATATTCACAGATTAAAGGATGAAAATAACTTCTGCTTTCACTACAGTGGACTCATTCCCTCTAATTTCAAACCATTGAGATTTCTTCAAGTTTTTGAGCCCAGTGATATTTACATTTAATCTACATCTACTCACATACATATATACTTTAATAAACTAGAAATAAAAATAAATGTTATTAATGTGAAAATGTAAGTATCTAAATATTAAAAGTTATACTTAATAGCAAAGTACAAATACTCTTATCATAAATGCCAGAGACAGCATGATAAACCCGTAAACTGAGTAATATCTCCTTCAATTGAATAATATCTATATAGCAATGATAATTTTCAATAGAACAACACAGTTAATAACAGATTAAAAAACATTGCTATTATTGATGAAAATTGAAAATACCTAGGGGGGAAATAAAAACAAAGAATGTGTAGAACTGTTATGGAGAAAAATCACACAAATTTCTTGATGGACTTAAAATAACATGATTACAATTTATGCCTTTGCTAGAATAAATAACAGATAGATTAAAGAATTAAAGTCTTAAAAAACTACTAGAATAATACAAAAGAACACATGTGACTTTGTCTATGACTCTGTGATAAAGGAAGATTTCTAAAATATAATAACCCTGAAGGAATTTTGTAAAAATTACATATAATTGAAAATATAAAATTTAATATAGTAAAAAACACTTTTGGGTTAAGAGAAGGTAGGATAAAAATAACATATTATTGAAAAGAGCTAATATTTTTAAAGCATAAACAGCTCTTAGAAATAAAAATAAGCTCAAAAAAACATCAAAGTTCATAAACAGGCAATTCACAATAATAGAAACACAAAGCTAATAAAAACTATTAGTAAAAGACATGCAATTTATGGCATATACACAAATGATCAAAAATTTTGCCTATCAGGTTTATAAACATTAAAAAAATAAAATATTTAACTGGGCATAGTGGAAATGTTTATAATCCCGCTGACGAAGGAAGTTGAAGCAGGAGGATTGCAAATTCAAGGCCAGCTTCAGCAATGTAGTGAGGCCCAAAGCAATTTACGGAAACCCTGATCAAAATAAAAAGAAAAAAGGACTGGGTATGTGACTCAGTGGTTAAGCACCCCTGAGTTCAATCCTGGGTACCAAATACAAAAAAAAAATATTTAATGTTAGAAAGGGAATGGGTCACGTATCAATCACAAATTCAATTGTCAAAATATAAATTTTCTTAAGTTACTACTTTAGTAATTTATAATGAAGCGTAAGATGAAAACTTATTTGAAATTTTAAAAATAAAATGAAATGAGGTGTGTGGTTGTGAGAGACAAAGTCTTTTTATTGCTTTAACATTATGTAATCTCAGAACTTTTGTTTTGTTTTGTACCAGGGATTGAACCCAGGGGCATTTAACCACAGAGCCACATCCCCAGCCCTTTTTATGTTTTATTTTCAGACAAGGTCTCACTAAGTTGCTTAGGGACTCATTTAGTTGCTGAGGCTGGCCTTGAATTTGCTATCCTCCTGCCTCAGGCTCCAGAGTTGCTGGGATTCGATGCACATGTCACCACATCCAGCTTTTAAACCATAGTTTTGAAAAGGACTATGGACTATCTATAAGTAATTCAAAAGTATATTATAATTTTAATCAAAATCTCAAGGAGACTTTTAAATTTGACAAATATAATGGTCATAAAAATTTTTATTTTTTTCTAAAGGAAGAGGGCTGATATACTAGTAAGTATATTACAAATTGCTAAATAACCAAAGGGTGGAATATTTATACATTAAATGAATCTTCAAATAATTTGTAATGTGAAGAGGCCAACACTAATTAATTGAAGGTGAAAAGAAGAGTTCAGCTAGTTACTTAAAACACAGACATCATTGTTAGATAACCAAAGACTAAAAAGAATAATTTTAAAATATTATTAGTGCTTATCTGTGAAATTACAATGTTTATATTTTCTGTGAAAATACAATTTTTGAAAAATGATAAAAATATAAATATCATACCATTATCTTTTTGTGTGTATGGTACTTCTCTAGAAATGCCTTATATCTTTCCAATTTTTCATAACCTTAAAAACAGAATTCAAAACATATGTAAATATATCCTTTAGAAATGAAAAATTTCAATAGTTTAAAGAAATTATGTGAAACTATTCACTGAGATCAACTAATGATTTTCATAAACATAATACTAGTTATACTCTTAGTGAATAACTAGAACTATTACATATCTTCTGTTTTCTTTAGTTTTTCTGAAATATCATATTTCACCTAACATGTCTATGGCTCTTACTTCTCTATCTAAATTTTTATCTCAATCAATCTCTACTGAACAAGTCCATGTTTTTCAAACAGCTCAGTGACTTAGATTTGGTTATTTCATGATTACCTTAAATAAAGCACAATGCACAATGGTGTATGGCCAATAGAAAGGTTATGGCTTTGAAGTTAGATACTTAGACTTAAATATAAACTCTGATATTTACATACTGAGAACAATGAATATATAGGTATATATTTATAATTATTATTTTTAAACCAGGAGGAATATTTGAAGAGATATGTTCCTATTTTTCTTTTACTTGTAGATATTTTATTTTAGAAAAGAATTTATGAATATATATATATATATATATATATATATATATACACACACACACACATAAGCTTCATATGTATGTCTGTATATATACTGTGTATAGATATTGTATATATGTATATTCATATATGTGTGTATATATATATCCCACACATAATCTGCATATCATATACATATAAGGTGTATATGTATATATATATATATATATATATATATATATATATAAAATTTGTATGAATTCAAAAAATGATAAAATTTTACAATTTAAAACAACATGAAAACTTAAAATAGTGAATTTAATAGTATATTTAAATGTTCTCAGAATTTGAAAAACCTAAAGTCAAAGAAGAATACTAAATATCTAAACATTATAACTATTTATTTAAAATAGAAGATAACCAGTATCATTGTTTTCAAGACTTCTATATGGCAAAGTTTCATTACATCAAGAATAAGAACCACCATTAATACTTAAAATTATTCTGGAAGTATTAATCAACATAATTAATTAAGAAAAGTACACAAATCCTGAAAAGGAAAAATTATCATTATCATTATTTGCAGAATGCTTTTTACTCCTTCATTTATTCCTCACCATATTCTGAATACTCCTATAAAACCTAACCTAGCCCATGTAATCAACTCTTACCCTTTTTTACTGTTCGGCTTTAGAAATTTAGGTTCTTTTATCCTGACTCTTGAGGATTTGCTTGTGACTTTCAATATCAGTTGATAAAATCTTGTTTCCATGTTTCCCTGATATTTTGCTACCTACACTCTAACTTTACAAGGTTAATAACTATTGTCCTAGTAACCCTATCTTTGAAACTACATGTTTGTGTTTAGCTGAAAATCTGTACTGATTCATTTTAAAATGAAGAGGTTTTAAAATATATATTCTTGTTTTAAGATATCTTTTATATTTTAAGATATTCTTCTTGTATTTTATTCTTTATGAGAACACATATAGAGGCAGCAGATAGACTAATAGACACCCAGACACATATACCATAACTTTACTTATTTTAAAAAATAAGGCTTACTTGTTTTGCAAATAACTTTGTCCCATTCAAATATTTTGGATGCATGGTCTTGCAAAAGAAGTGAACATTCCCTTAATCTTAACTCCATGTTCATGTCTGCTTCAAATATCTGAGGGACATTTTTCAATAGATGTGTATAAATTGAAGTAAATGAACTATCTTCCTTTATTTTGTTCATATCATGTACATATTTATCTTCTATTAAGTGGATTTCTTTGGGCCAATAATCCTGCCAATGGAGAGGAAACAATTAAATCATTTTTAATAAATTTAAATAATAGAGTTCAAAATCAATGAGCTAAACTTGAGATTTATTTCACAGCATTTTATTATTAAATTTTTAAAGAAAAGTAAGAAAAAATACTTCAGAAAAACTACCAGAGTTTTTATAAGAAATTTGTTTCTTGAATCATTTGAAAGTAAGTTGTTTATGGCCCATCATCTTTGAATACTTTAGCATATATTTAAAAAAATACAAATACATTCTCCTACAAAATAACAATATAACACCAGAATCAGGAAATTGGCATAAATATATTGTTTTTATCTAATCTCACTCTATTCGAGTTTCATCACTTAAACTAATGATGTGCTCTACAGAAAATAATCAAATTCAGAATCACACATTATGTTTAAACTTAGTGCCATTTTAGTCCCTTTGGGTCTGACGTAGTTTCTCAGTATGTTGGTGAGAGGGAGGAGGAAAGATATGAGGCAGTTCTCTTAATTTTATTTTTTTTTCCAGCTTTATTAAGGTATAACTGACAAAAATGTACCTATTTATAGTACACATTACAATGTGAGGTTTTATTTATTTATTTTGAGTACCGGGGATTGAACTCAGGGGCACTTGGCCACTGAGTCACATCTCCAGCCTTATTTTGTATTTTATTTAGAGATGGGTCTCACTGAGCTGCTAAGCACCTCACTGTTGCTGAGTCTGGCTTTGAACTCATGATTCTCCTGTCTCAGCTTCCTGAGCCCCTGGAATTACAGGTGTGCATCAATATAATGTTTTGATGTGTGTGTGTGTGTGTGTGTGTGTGTATATATATATATTGTGAAATTTTTACCAAAGTAAAACTAATTAACACATCCATTACCTCATATAGGTTTTATATTGCTTTGTTTTTGTGGTAAGGAATTTTAAGACCTATTCTCAGCAAATATACATTAACTAGATTCACCATGCTGTCCAATAGATCTCCAGAATTTATTCATCCTGTCTAACCAAAACTATTCTTTAACCCATTTCTCCTACTCCCCCATAAGCCTCTGACAATCACCACTGTATTCTCTGATACTAAGAGTTCCACTTTTTTAAAAATTCTACATGTAAGTTAAAACATGCAGTAATTGTCTTTTGGGGCCTGACATATTTCACTTAGCATAATGTCTCCTAGGTTCATCTGTGTTATTGCAAATGACAGGAATTATTTCTTTTGTAAGGCTGAATAATATTTCATTACATTATATGGGTATATATGTATATATGTGTATGCATACACAAAAATATACATGTTACATTTTCTTTTTCCATTCATATGTTGATGGACACTTAAGTTGATTGCATATCTTGGCTGTTGTGAACAACAGTTGCAATGAACTTGGGAGTGCAGGTATCTCTTTGACATACTGATTTCATTTCCTTTGAAGATATATCTAGAAGTAGAATTGCTGGATCATATGGTAGTTCTAATTTTTTATATTGATTCTTCCCACAGTTCCTCTATTAATTAACAATACCAACAGCACTGTCCAGAGTTTCCATTTCTCCGCATCCTTGCCAACATTTTTTTTGTCGTTTTGATATAGTCATTCTCATAAGTATGAGGTGACATCTCATTGTGGTTTTAATTTGTATTTCTGATAATTAGTAATATTGAACACTTCTACATGAACTTGTTGGCTATCTGTATGCTTCTTTTGAGAAATATCCTTGCCCATTTTTAATAAGGTTTTCTTGCTACTAAGTTGAGTTCCTTATATAATCATTTATCAGATGGATATTTTGCAAATATTTTCTCTCATTCTGTAGGTTGTCTTTTCATGTTGCTAATTATTTCTGTGGCATTACAGAAGCTTCTTAATTTGATGTGATCCCATTTGTTTATTTTTGCTGTTCTTATCTGTGCTTTTGTGGTCATATCCAAATTACCATTGTCCACACCACTGTTAAGGAGCTTTCCCCAATGTTTTTTTTTTTCCCTAGTAGTTTCAGCTTCAAGTCTTATTTTAAAGTCTTTTAATCCATTTTCAGTTAATTTTTGTATATGACAAGAGATAAATGTTCAATTTCAGTTTTCATGTGAACATTATTATTATTCTCTGATTATTTTTTGATATATGCTTTGTAAGATATAAAAGTAGCAACTTTGGGGCCCCATTTGCATGTAATATCGTTATCCATCTTTTCTCATTCAGTCTGTGGCTGTTTTTACCTTTAAAATGAGTCTTTTGCAAACAACATATAGTTGGATCTTGTTTTTTAATCCACTCTGCTAGTCTATATCTTTTAATTGGAGCACTGAAACCATTTTCATTCAGTATTTAAAAAGCTGCTTTACAGCAAAGGAAATAATCAATAACATGAAGACAGAGCCTACAGAATGGGAAAAAAATCTTTACCGCCTGCACTTCAGATAGAGCATTAATTTCCAGGATATAAAAAGAACTCAAAAAACTTAACACCAATAAAACAAATAACCCAATCAATAAATGGACTAAGGAAATGAGCAGACACTTCACAGAAAAAGAAATACAATCAATCAGCAAATACATGAAAAATGTTCAACATCTCTAGCAATTAGAGAAATGCAAATCAAAACTAAACTGAAATTTCATCTCATTCCACTCAGAATGGCAATTATCAAGAATACAAGCAACAATAAATGTTGGTAAGGATATGGGGATAAAGGTACACTCATACATTGCTGGTGGGATTGCAAATTGGCACAACTCCTATGGAATACAGTATAGTGATTCCTTAGAAAACTTGGAATGGAACCTTAAATTGACCCAGTTATCCCATTCCTCAGTGTATAACCAGAGGACTTAAGATCGTCATAGTATAGTGATGCACCCATATGAATTAATGTGTATAGCAGCTCAATTCACAATAGCCAAGCCAGGGAACCAACCTAGGTGCCCTTCAATAGTTGGATGGAAAAAGAAAATGTGTGGTATATACTCACAATGAAATATTACTCAAGCCTTAAAGAATGAAATTATGGCATTTGCCAGTTAATGGATGAAGCTAGAGAATATCCTGCTAAGCAAAATAAGCCAATCCCAAAGAACCACAGGTCAAATGTGTTTTCCAATATGTGGATGCTAATTCACAAAACCAATAATCTATAATTGAGTTGGCATCCAATTAGAAAGCTTCTGCACACCAAAGGAAATAAGGATGTGAAGAGAGCACCTATCCAATGGGAGAAAATCTTTGATAGCTGCTCCTCTGACAGATTTACATCCAGAAAACATAAAGAACTGAAAAAACTTAAGAACAAAAATAGTCTAATCAATAATTGGGAAATGAAATAAAATGACATTTCTCAAAAGAAGATATACAAATGGTCAACAAATATATGAATGTTCAACATCCTTAGAAATGCAAATCAAAACTACACCAGAGATTTCATCTCACCCCCCCATTAGAATGGTCATCACCAAGAATAAAAATAATAATTCCTTGGGGGATGTGGTATGAAAAGACACACTTATACATTGGACGAAAATTAGTACAATCACTTTAGAAAGCAGTAAGTAAATCCCTCAAAAAAGTAGGACTTGAACTACCATACGACTCACCTATCCAATTCCTTGGTATTTATTCAAAAGAACTAAAATCAGCATACTGTGGTGATACATGCTTACTAGTGTTTATAGCAGTACAAATCACAAGTTATAGAATTAGCCTAGTGCTGGTCAAAAGAAGAATGGATAAAGAAAATGGGACACAGACACACACACACACACACACACACACAATGGAGCTTTATTCAGTCACAAAAAAAGAATGAAATTATATCATTTGGTGGTTAATGGATGAAACTAGAGAATATCATGCTAAATGAAATAAGCTAGAAATCTGGTGCAACGTTGCACACTCATAATCCCAGTGACTCAGCAGGCTGAGACCAGAAGATAGCAGGTTTGAGGCCAGCCTCAGCAACTTAGCAAGCCTCTAAGTAAATTAGTGACAGCTTGTCTAATAATAAAAAATAACTGGGAATGTAGTTCAGTGGTAAAATGTCCCTGGGTTCAATCGCAGAACAACAACAACAACAACAAGAAAAAATAAATAAATAAAAAAGAAAGAGAGAAAGAAGCCAAAAGCCAAAAGCCAGACTCTGCAAATCAACAGTTGTATGTTTTCTATCACATGTGGAAGCTAGATGGAGAGAGGAAAAAAAGGAAGGGATCTTGCAAAATTAGGAAGCAGACCAATAGGGTAGAGGAAGAGGATTGAGAGAAGGAAGGAAAGGAGAGTATTGGAAAATATGGGGGTACAAAATCAAATTATGCTATATCCATGTACCACAATTAATCACATACATATGTATATAATTATAATGTACTAATTAAAGTAATAATAATGATAATAGAATGAAGATCAGTAGATTAGAGCAAGTCAGTGAGGGAGGTAAGAGAGGAAGGAAAGAGGTGGTATTAGAGAATGAGACTGATCAAATTATGTTTTGTGCCTGCACAAATATGATATAATGAAACTCATTATTATGTATAATTAAAATGCATCAATAAAAATCATATTCAACAACACATTAAGGAGATTATACATCATGATCAAGTTGATTTCATTCCAGGATGCAAAGACAGTTCAACATGCAGATCAAAAAATGTAATTTACCACATAAATAGAATTTAAGACAAAGATCACATAATCATCTTGATAGATGTAGAGAAAACCTTCAACAAAATTTATAACCAATTTATGATAAAAACACTGAGGAAACTAGGGATAGAAGGAACTTACCTGAAAATCATAAAGTCTCTATACCATAAAACCAAAGCCCATGTCATAGTAAGTGGGAAAAAAATGGAAAGCATATCCTTTAAAATCAGCAACAAGAGAAGGATATTTATTCTTCACATGCTTATTCAATATAGTACTTGAAATTTTATGCAGAGCAATTAGACAAGAGAAGGAAATAAAAGAGATACAAATAGGAAAGGAAGAAATCAAATACTACTATTGGTAGATAATATGTTCCTATACTTGGAAGATCAAAGAAGCTTCACAGAAGACTTCTAGAGCAAATAAACAAATTCAGCAGAGTAGCGGGATAAAAAAAATCAACATCCTAAAATATATAAACAATAATATCCTAAAAATAATATCTTCTGAAAAAGAAATCAGGAAAACAATCCCATTGAAAATAACCTCAAAAAACATTTAATAATAAGTCTATACAAAGTTGTGAAAGACCTCTATAATGAAAATTATAGAACACTGAAGAAAGAAATTGAAGAAGACACCAGAAGATGGAAAGACTTCCATGTTCTTGAATAGGCAGAGTTAATATTGTTAAAATGACCATAGACCCAAAAGAGATATACAGATTCAGAGCAATTCCCATCAAAAAACCCCATGACAGTCATTACACAACTAGAATAAAAATGGTTCAAACATTCATATGAAAGAATAAAATAATAGCCAAAGCAATTCTGAGCAAAAGGGGCAATGTTGGAGATATCATAATACCCAACTTCAAATTATACAGAACTGTAATAACAAAAAAAAAGCATGATCCTGACATAAAAACAGACACAAAGACCAATGAAATAGAACAGAAGACACTGAGATAAACCCACAGAGATAGTTATGATTCTTGACAAAGCCACCAAAACCATATCTGGAATAAAAGAGTCTTTTTAGCAAATGATGCTGGGAATACTGGATGTAAAACTAGATTCTTATCTCTAACTCTGCACAAAGGTCAACTGAAAGTAGATCAAAGACCTAGGAATCAGACTAGAAAATCTATAACTGCTAGACAAAACACAATAGAATCAATACTCCAACATAAATGTTCAAGCACTGACTTTCTCAAAAAGAATCCTGAAATTCAAGATAGAAAACAAAGAATTAATAAATGGAATGGTGTCAAATTTAAAAACTTCAGCGCAATAATAGAAACAATTAAGAGCATAAAAAGAGTGGAGGAAATGGGAGAAATTTTTTGCCAGCCACTCTCCTGACAGTGGATTAATATCCTGAAAAAGAATTAAAGAACTTAGCATGTGCACACACACATGCACACCCCAAAACAAAACAAAAAAAAACACCTACAAATTAATATATGGGAAAATGAAATAAAAAGACATTTCTCAAAAGAAGAAATACAAATGGACAACACATACATGAAAAAAAAAGAGAAATGCAAATCAAACGTACAGTGAGATTTCATCTCACCGCAGAATGGTCATCATCAAGATCACAAATAACAAGGGGGAAGTATCTGGGGACTGGATTAGAACATTATATGTATTTTGTTATAAAATTATAAACATTTTATAATTATGTCAGAATGAATCTTACTGTTATATATATAACAAAATGAACCAAATAAAAAAGAATGCAAATAATAATAAATGCTGGTGAGGATGTGAAGGAAAACACTTATTCACTGATGGTGGTGTAGTAAATTGGTACAGCCACTAAGGAAATCAGTATGGAGGTTCCTCAAAACACTAGAAATGGAACCACCATATGAGCCATCTATACTACTCTTCAGTATTTATTGAAAAGAATGAAATTCAGCCTACTGTAGTGATATAAGCATATCTATGTTTATAGTTGTATAATTCATAATAGCCAAATTATTCATTAAGAATAATTTGGCTATTCATCAAGAGATGAATGGATAAAGAAAGTGTGGCGTATATACACAATGAGGTTTTATTCAGACATAATAATAATGAAAATATGTCATTTTCTGGTAAACTGATGGAAATGGAGAATAACATTATGCTAAGTGAAGTAAGCCAGACTCAGAAAGTTAAGGATCCTATGTTTTCTGTCATCCATGCAAGCTAGAGAGAAAAAGGGGGAAAAGAAGGGATCTCACAAAAATAGAAGGGAGATCAGTAGAGTAGAGAACTAGGTCCAGGGGGAAAGAAGGGAAATGGGAGGCACAGGGGAATGAAACAGACCAAATTATACAATGCACAGCTATGAATATATCCTAATGAGCCTACTATTATATACAATTATAATTAATTTATATATATAATTGTGCATAATATATAACATAAACACAGATAAAATATGATGTAATTATTTCCAAATGAGACAATATTATTACAAATGTAAATTTAAAATTTAAACTATAGAAGAAAGATACATTGGCACATAAAGTAGAATGTTCTACTCACCCAATTTTGAAGCTTTAAGAATTCTTCAATGCTCTTTGGAGGTACTTGTATTTTCTAATGAAGCAAAATAGATACTGTTCATTGACATAAATTTAGATTGTACTTATATTTATTTTAATAAAATATGGTACAAGTTATAATTTGTAACTTGTATTTATTTAACTAAGTACAATACTTATATTTGAATACTTCTATATATTTAAATATGGTTAAAATTTCAGAGCTATAAAGTATTAAATATTCATCTTGCAAGCCCCTGAACTTTAAAAAAGAACAGAGGTAAACATTTAAATTCTGAGCCTCTAAATCAAATTCTACAGTTTCCTTTGATGCACAAGTCTATAGAAAAATTCGACATGATTCTTGATGAATGTCCTCATCTCAAATTCCTTCAAGAATTTCAAGACATTTTGGGCTATTGTAGATAGCATGGATAATATTATCCTCTTCCTGAAGTACTTTAAGAAGCCACATTAGTGAGATCCACAAAAACAATTTAAATATTTGAATGTTTAATAAGTAATAATCCTATTTTTATTATCTAGTAGTTTTTGTGAGTTGAAAGTAATTTCAATTGAGACCAAGCCTTGCTCCTCTTGCCTTACAAACTTTGCACACATTATTTCTTCTGCTTAGAAGTCTCTCTGTCCCTCTCCTTCCAATCCATTCTTGACTATTTAGCTCTTATGTTAAATATTGAATTAAAAGTCACTTTTTCTAGGAAGGTTTTATTGCCACAAAAGTTTCTTCATGTTAACATGAAGATTTCATAGCTCTATGAGGATAGAAATAATGGTGTAATCATGGCTGAATATCTAAATTTCACAGTGGCAGTACCACAGTCAATATATAAATACTTGCTGTGTGCATCAATTAATAAGTAAATGAGTAGATGAATGTGAGAAGTATGCAGGTATTTAAAAAATAACCATAAAAACATTTCTAGAGAATAAAAAAAAAACAATGAGAAGGCAAAAATAAGAGGAATTCAGAAGTTTAATGCCCTAATGGTCATGAGAACATGGATGAAGAGATTGCATCATGTTTTTATTTACTAAAATATATATTTTATTTACTAAAACATATATTTCATATATATAAAATGGCCAACATTATAAAATTATAGGGATGTGCTTGGTAAAATTACACATTTAAGATTAAAGGGGGTAGAGTTACGTCTCTTAATATTTTAAAATATATGATTAATATAAATAAATATGTGACTTATAAGAAATAATAATAAAGGTCATGTGTGACAACCATTACAAAAATAAGTGTTCAGATAGAACAAAAGATGAATAGAGCTGTCATTTGAATTTTATGGAAAAAAATGGGACTTGGGCTAGTCAGATTGAGAAGGGTAAGAGATATGCGAGATGGAAGACAAAGATTTAGAGACAGAAAACTGTTTATGATATATCATCAGGAATATTGCATATAACAGTTTGATTAAAAGGTACTATCAGTGTATTTTATTAGTTTTAATTAGTTACATATAACCGTACAATGATCTTGACATATCATACATTTGAATCAGATGGTATATAATTTCTTTTTTCTGAGTGTACAGGTTGCAGAATCACATTGGTCATGCAGTCACGTATATACCCACAGCAATAATAATGTCTGTTTTATTCTGCTGTCCTTCCATTCCCCATTCATCAGTGTATTTTTTAATGCACAGAATTAAATTAATGCACAGTGTATTTTTTTAATGTACAGAGGTAAAACAATTTAAATGTTGACTTTTTTTGCTTATAATGGCTGTTAAATTACTACTAGAATAAATTGAAAATAATACATTTCAATTAAAGGGAATTAGTAAAATGAGTTAAGGAAGTGAACTTGCACAGGAAACTTTCAACTAATTTCAAAATAAAATTCAATAGTTCTCTGGGATAAATTTAAAAGGAGATGAGGCATAAATTAAACAGCCTTCTGCTTTTGGTAGAATATAAATGATGCTCCATGGTAACAAGTAAAACATGGTTGAAATAAAAATCATTCTTTTCTAAGAACTTAATGAAAATCAGTGGATTACAGTCAATTACATAATTCATAAAAATTCCCTTTTTTCAGAAATTATTAAGAATTTAAAGACGTTGACATTAGATCATTAAGTAGAGTGCAGGGTCCTTTAAAACATGAGGCCCTGGGCAACAGAAGAGGTTTCAAGTCCATGTCTGACTCTCCCTGGATGTTTTGATGACTTGAATTCCAAAAAGAGACATGCTGTTTAATAAACGACCATAAAGCTGTGATAGCTTCCTTACCTGGAACGCACTTCTGTTTTTCCCTTGAGGCTTCCATTGACCTGCCATGGTGCAGTAACTTTGCAAAAATGAACAGAAATTAGGTGGGCTCTAGGCATCAGTGTGAGTTGGGAGAACAATCTGGAAAGACATAAAATGCAAAAACAAATGGCTTAGTCAAACAATCCTTTTCACTTATCCTCAGACCTTACTTTTGAATTTTTGTCAAAGAAAGCAGCAATGGAGGAAGGGGCTAGAAAAAAAAAATTGTATAGATCAACACATTCACATGATTCTTATATTCCAGGGCCTGGACAAAATTGACTTCATTTATGAATCAAAAATATCTAAAACTTTAGTTCCAACTTGTTTCAGATGAAATATTGTCAAGATATAAGAGGTAGATATGAAGGAAGAGAGGTTGGAGGTTGAGTTAATCACAAGTGAACTCAATCTAATTAAATTTGCAGCTAACCCTGCAAAGTTTGAATCAACTTTGGAAGAATTTTAAGAGATCAGCCAGCCACTCAAAATACCAAAGGAAAAAGCTGTCTGAAAACTAAACAAAATTAAATTTCAGCCTCCACAATGTTTGTTATATAATGTCGAACACACAATAGAACAAGATAAACAGAGGAGGAGGAAAATGGGATGTGTAGTCCAGGGAAAATACTGCCAATATAAACCAATTAACTGGGAAAACAGTTATTGTAATAAGTAGGCAAGGACTTTAAAGCAACTACTATAAATACGTTAAATATTTTACAATAGTATGTTGACAATAGTAAATGAAGACATGGGGTATTTCAGGAGAAATGGAAATTCTAAAAAAGAAACAAATAGAAATTCTAGAACCATGTATACTCTACTAAGAAAGCTGGTTGTGTCTATAGTAAAATCAAGCAAAGTGGACTTCAAGACTAAGAGTATTATTAGACATAAATAAGGATATTTTATACAGATAGTGTCAGTTAATTAAGAAGTCATAATAATGTTAAATGTTTTTGTATCGAATAACAGAGCTTAAAGATAAAGGTAGCAGAAATTGGTAAAAACTAAAGAGAAATATAAACCACCTTTATAGTTTGAGATCTAATGTACCTCTCTGAATTTTGAATCAAGTATACACAAATACATAAAACAAAAGAAGATAAGAAGTTTGAGTAACATTATCAAGCTACTTAACCAAATTGATCTCTACAGAACAAACATATCACACAACTGTAAACATATTAGTCTTTTAAAGTAATTGAAAGGAAAGTGACCATGACATTCTGAGTGACCAAGAGATCTTTAGGCGGTGGTGTCTGATTGACAGGGAAGGAAGAGAGAAAGAGAGCAGGGAAAGAGAAAGAGGGAGGGAGAGAGCAGAGAGGAGAGGAAGGAAGGAGAGGAGAGGAGCACAAAGCACAGAGAGAGAAAGTGAGAGAATAATGAGAGAGAAAGAGGGCAAAGCTAAAGGGTTGTAGTGGTGGGGGTGGCCAGCAGGAGAGAGTTTTTATAGCCAAAATCTAATGGGGTCTCTGGGTCTGCAAGCTGCCTTGTTGACTGGCGTACAGTGATTGGATCATACATAGTTGCTAAGGGTGTCATATTCTGTCTTCAGGCAGATCCGGCAGGGGCCAGAAGTGGGTTTCCATTGCACCAGATGGTTGGGGGTCCAATGTTCAGTCCACCCTGCAGCTAACATTTGTTCAGCCTGCTCTGCAACTAATAGTAATGGAACATGGGACTGGGGCTGTAGCTCAGTGGCAGAGCACTTGCCCAGCATGTGTGAAGCACTGGGTTCGATCCTCAGCACCACATAAAAATAAAATAAAGGCATGCATCTACAACTACAAAAAAAAAGTGATTTCTATGTAGTACAGTCCTCTTAAAAAGAAGTAATGCAACACGATAGACCTATGCTATATACCATAAGACCTATGCTATATACCATAAGACAAGTCTTAAAAATTTTCAAATAATTAAAGTTACTTGAAATCATTTGAATTCAGAGTATGTTCTCTGACTATATTAGAATTAAAATAGAAACAGTTGTGAAGACATTCAGAAAATCCTTAATTATTAAGAACTTAATTTCTAAATAGCATGGCTTAAAAATAAATAATAAGGACAATTAGAATTGAATGATAAAGGTAATGAAAATATATCAACATTTGTGTCATATAGATAAAATTATGTTTAGAGGAAAGCATTTAGCTTAAAGTGCTTAGAAGAAAAACAATGAAAATAAAATGTAAAGAAAAACATAAATATATGAATAGAAATAAAAATGTAAAAACAAAAATCAAGAAAATAAAAGTTGTTCCTTGAAAAGATGAAAAAAATGAGAAACCTTTAGTAGAGGTAAACTTAGAGAGAGAAATATAAATGACCAATATCAGAAGTGATGAAGGGGGTTAAAGGTTATATAATTAAAAACTTTATGTCAGTAAGTTAAATAACCTAAATGAACAGGACAAATCCTTTAAAAATAATAACAAATGAAACAGATATAATATATTTGAATATCACAATAAATTTTAAAAAATATGAATTAATAATTTAAAATATTCCCATAAATTCCAGACCTAGATGGCTATGGCATAAAATAATCAAAAAAAGAAATAATAACAATTTAATATAAACTCAGAAATAGGGGAGGGAATAGTTTCTAAATCATTTTATGAAGTCAGTCTGACAAGGATATTAAAAGGGAAATTATAGATTAAAACATCCCTCAAGAAAATAGAGTTTAAAAATCTTTTAAAAATTACCAGCAAATTGAATCCAGAGAGGTCTAAAAAGAATAATAAATCGTGCTCAAGTGAGGTTTATCTTGGGGATGAAAAACTATATTATAATAATTTTATAATATATTTAATATAACAGTGTGGAGTATGATTCAAAACGTGGTAATCCTTATATGAATTTATTTAAATCTATGTAATTAACTGATTTTTATTCATAAGAATTTTGAAGACACATTATTCTAAAGGTTTATAGAAGACTTGCACATGAAGATTTTATATTAGGGGCACTGGGGTTGTGGCTCAGTGGTGGAGTGCTCACCTAGCACATGTGAGGCACTGGGTTCAATCCTCAGCACCACATGAAGAATAAATAAATAAAATAAAGGTATACAGAAAAAGATTTTATATTAGGGGTTTTTCATTTCAAACCTAGTATTTTCAAAACATATTTTATGATCATATCTTGAAAGAAGTCCTTACTTTCTGAGACTTGTTATTATTTTCAGTGGCAAAGATTTTCAGTCATCCAGGTTTGAAATACGAATTATCTTAGACTCTTCCTTTTCTTTCCTTGTCCCGTATATTCCATCACCATAATTTATTTTTTAAAAAATTCCTTTAAATGAAGAAAATTATGTTTTGTCATATATGAAAAAGTCAAAATGAATTCCACTATTATAGATAATTATAATGCACTAACAAAAACATAATAAAATCTTTAATTATGTCTTCTTTTACAGTCCCAATATTAACACAGTTGGTTGTATTTATTGTTGATTATTTTTCCAAGTCATTTGTTTGTAAAACTGATTTCTTAACCTTTTCATTAAAGTAAAACATATGTACAGTAAATTGTACAAACTTTAATTATATTGATGGATAACTTTTTTTTTTTTTTAACAAATGTCTGCACCTAAATAACCAATTCACAAATCAAGACAGACAAAACCAGTAAACCAAGGTATATTATTGCCCCTTTCCAGTCATTCATTCCCCTCAAACGTAACCATAGTTCTAATTTCTACCACTCTAGATAATAAGTTTTGCCTATTATGAACTTTATAAACGGTTCCTCTTTGGTTCTTTCATTTGACATTATGTCTGTAAGATTTATCCATGGTGTTTCATATAAAAGTAGTTCATGTTTTTCATCACTGCGTAATACTCTATTATATAACATAACCAAAATTTGTTTATACATTCTACTCCTAATGGACATTTGAATCATTTCCTATTTATGTGTTATTACTAATCAAGTCAATATGAACATTCTTGTTACCGTCTTTTGGGACACTTGATATTTATGTATCTAGGAATGAGATTACTGGGTCAACTATAGTGTTGCCAAATAGATTTTCAAAGTGGTTGTACTTGTTTACATTCTCAATACAAGTGTATGAAAGTTCCAGTAATTCTACATACTAAGAATGTAAATTTTTTACTATTGTGTGTGTGCATGTGTGTGTGTATATATATATGTGTATTATATATATTTAATTTATATATATATATATTGTTTTTTATATACATATATATATACACATGAAATACAGATCCATTGTCAGGACAAAAATAATATGTATTCTCTCAATGGTGTTTTTTTCATGAATAGTGCTTTTAATTTTATGAAGTCCTTTAACTTTTCATTTTTGTCTTGAGAAATCTTTGCCTACCCAAAAATAAAAAAAAGATGGTATTGCATTTTACCTTCTAAAATGCTACATTACTTTATGTTTCACATTTAAGTTTATGATCTGTATTGTATCGATTGCTATGTTTTCAGTGAGGTAATAAATCAAGGTTGTGTTGTTTTGTTATTCCATTTGGATAGCTAGTTGATCCATAATTTATTAGTTAAAATACTATATTTGCTGCTGTATTACAGTGCCATTTATCCATAAATCAAAGTGATTAGAGACAACTGAATAGCTTTTCTGAACACTCAGTTCTGTTACACTTGTCTTATAGTCTGTCTTTTTCACAATACCATTTAGTTTCAATCACTGTGCCTTTCTAATAAATCTTGATATAATTTACATCTTCTAGCTTTGTTTTCCTTATCAAGTAGTCATTACTATTTTAAGCCTTTTATATTTAAGAAATATAAATGATTTTTAGAAAACATATTGTCAAATTCTGCAAAAAATCTATGATGAAATTTTGATGGGGGTTACATGATATATAGTAGTCAACTTGGCAACTAACATCTTTCCAATATTAAATCTTAGAATCAATAAAAATTATGAATTTTTTCCACTCTTTTAGATCTTTTAAATTTTCTTCTGAAACTGTTTTATAAGTTTTCTATATAGAAATATTATATAATCTTTCATT